GAAAATTTTGACGCGTGCCCGAGTTTGAGAGAGAGAGAGAGTGTGTGTATTTGCGCTCGAGAAAAGTGTTTACACTCGTCAAAAAGGAAAGAAAGAGGGAAAAAAAGGAAAAGTCATTAGCGTTTCTCGACGAAAAACACCCGGTTGAGGATATAAACGAATGACGATGCATCGTTGTTATTACTCGTATCCTATCGTGATTTATATATGATGGAAAGATTTGAAGATTCGAAAGAAGACGACTCTCGGTCGTTTCATGCGGCAACTTCTTTATTCACGCTAGATTTCGTTATCTTCGATTCACGAGAGCGCGGTATTCCTTCCTCGCCTCTTTATTTCTTTATCAGAGAATAATAGGAAACTTGTGCTTTAAGATGCTTTCGATCTTAAATTCCAAACGAAACTATTCCTCCTGGCAATCTGTCTAATGTGTTAGTTGAGATCGTTGAGAAAGTTTGGAAATCTTGAACAAAAAATTTCGAAAATAAAATTGATCGTTAAAAAATTAACGAGAGAGAAAATGAAAACAGCGATGGGGATAGCGATGTAGTAAGAAATCGAAAAATTGGAGCAACGAATCCGAAAGTGATAGCTCCGATAATTCGAATTGCGAATCGGAAGCAACGAAATCTCGATTAACGATCTTATGACGCTAATGCAACCATAATTGAAAGTTGCTGGGCTGGCTGTTTGCTGGCTTGCGCCACCATTGCTTAATTGGCCGTTTCTCTTCTCGCGATCGTTCATTTTGCTCTGGGAAAACGAGGGAATTCGAACGGATCTGCAACAAGAGAAAAAAAAATAAAATTCTTTCTAAGTGCTCAGCTTGATCAACTTTTATTATATTTAAGAGACGAAAATTTACCTTCCGAAAATGCAAGAAGATGATCGATCATCATCACTGTCATAAATATATAAAGGCGATAAAAGCTCGTGTCTCTTCTTCGATATATACATATTTATTCGTTATTCGGTATTTATTCGCTCGAACTCGTCTCGCGGGATCCCGAGGACGAGGCGACGTCACGTTGAAACACGGGAATTTCCTCAAATTCTCCGATTCTCGATCCCTTTTCGCCTTTAAGGATTCATACGGTGAGCGCGTGTATTATGCATCATCGATCCTGTGCATGATCTCGAAATACGTTTGCCGCCAACGAGAAGAACGGTGTCGAAAATTCAGAGGGGGGAAAAAATATAAATACATCGAATTATTTATTTAATCAAGCATATTTTATAAAGAATTTCGAAACTTTATTATTTCCAAAGCGCCCTTTGTCCCTCGGAGAAAATTGCCTCGCGAACGAGCCACGATCCTACGACGAATAAATATCGTAACTTCATCCGTTAAACTTCTCCTTGACAAATTGCCATCGTTCCACGTGAAAAGTTTCTCCATCTCGAATCGAAAGAAAATGAAACGTTCCGAGAAGATAACGCTCTCTAATTTGTCCCAGTCAAAACACCTATCTATCCCCTTATCTCCTTCCTCCCCTCCCCCCTTCTTTTTTTTCACGAGCTCGATTCGTCCAACGATACTGCTACAGTTCCAAACCTGACCCACTATCGCGACTGACTTTCCCCTTCTCGTGATCACCGAATTATTAATAATTGACCTTCGATAGTTTTCGAACGAATGATCGATATCGTACTTGATGGATGTACAAGAGAGCGAAAAGCATTCACTCAATATATATATATATATTCCTAAAAACGACACGTAACAATGTTTAAAAAAAAAAAAAATCAGCGAAAAATCCGTCGAGCTACGATAGCTACGAATGAAACGACGAATCGAATCAGTAACCGCTCCCACGTTGAACAACAGCGGTCACGACGATACTCGACCCACGCACCCTGCTCCACGCGTGTCCCTGCTAATGGAATATCCGTGGCGCTCGAGCAAGCCTGCAATGTCGTATCCTCGAAACAGTGTCGCTTCCACGACACCCTGGCGCTCGATCGGTGGTTTCAGCGTTTGGGGAGTCGATTCGGGATTCCTGTTTCGCCTTACGCGCGCAAACATCTCTACGAGGAAAGTTGAACTATTCGAAAGATGGTGATGGAGAGGGTATGGCGTGGTTGGCGTTCTCGCGAGAGATGTTTCGCGATTGTTGAAAGATCCGGATTACTTTATATACGAAATTTCTCCGGCATTCTAATCGCTATTTAATTAGTTAGCTACGCCGCCCACGCTCGGAATTTCGCGACGCGTGCTCACTCGTCGGATTTAAATTCTTCCCGAGGGTTTGGCTCGAAAGTCTCTACTCGAACAATTTTCGCAATGATCAATTTAAATCGTCGAATCGAATCTTCACGTTGAAGAATTGCGTTCGAGTTTTGGGTAAATGATTATTCGAGCGAATTATCATTATTAGGAATTCGAAAAAAAACGAAACGAGATGAAAGATACAGAGAGAGAGAGAGAGAGAGAAGAAAGGAAGAAACGGTACTTTTACATCAGGTAGTTTTACGGCACGCTATTATCGAGACCAAGAGTTAAATGGAAACAGAAGTGGAAACGGACGGGAATGGTAATCCTGGTCTGGAGATCTGATCGATTCGCGGCATGCCGGCAGGCATCTGTTCGAGCACACATTCGGTCGATTTAATACCGTAATTTCGTAGAGCACCAATGGTAGGCAAACTTTCGGTAAGTGCTCTCTCTCCAAGTAGACCTATTCTCGGTGCATACACACGTCAGAAATCATAAGCTTGCGCGTACCGGTCCCAAGTCCAAACTGGATCCGACAAATCTTCGAGGTTCGAAATTAGCGCGTCTACAACCGAATGGCCGAATTATCGAAATATCGAGTGGATCGGAAGAAAAGGTTTAGAGAGAGAGAGAGAGAGAGAAAATACATCACCGTCTTATACACTTTTCAAGGCGAGAAGAGAGAGAGAGAGAGAGAGAGATCGGATTAAAAATGTATCCTTTAACGCATTCAACGCTGATGACGTGGAGGATAAATTATATCCTTCTCTTTTCTTTTCTTTTTCAATCAATATTCCGCGCTTAATTTATCTTCGATAATCCTCCGACAATCCTTCCCATCCGAATTTATATTATTTTAGAATTGTTAAACCACTACTCCCAATAGTTTCCCGCTAATTTCGAGAATTTTGTATTACATTCGTGTATATTATATTTCTACGAATTGTTTTTCCACGAAAACGAAAATCGATATATTCGCCATCGAGAGAGATAAATTCGCCCCCCGGTTTTCGACAAATTCGCGACTTCCTCCTCTCGTTCTCGCGCATATATATCCGTAGAAATGGAAGGGTGTGGAGATTCGAGGAATTTGTGAGGCCAATTCGACAAAGTGCGTTATTATCTGGGCCAACGTTGAAAGTCAAGAATAAAGGAGGCGGTTTGTTTTCAACGTAAACGAGCAGTTGGGCCGGTTCGATACGCGGCGGCGACGTTGCAAGGTTTATCGGCCCTGACACGTGTTACGACAACGGATTTGGCGGTTACGATGACGTGGAAGAGGTGTGAACGAGACAAAATCCAAGGCTGGCCGAGGACGGGAAGGGGAGGGGCGCGCCACCATCCCAGGGTCGATCGTGGAACCGATCGAAACCCCTTTGATCAAGTACCGGTAAACATTCTCCCAGGTCACGGATGAAAGCTCGCCTCTCCGCTGTTTTCAGCCTCCGGTCTGGCCACCAAATCGCACGCCTCTCCCTTTATCACGCTTTTCCCCTAGCTTAATATAGACGTGCACGCCGGCACGAAAAAAATTGCTAAATCGTTTACACATCGGCGAAAGTTTCGGCGATGAAACGTTGCCCGCGTAATCGACGATTATAATCGCGACCTACAGATATAATTTTCCTCCTCCTCTACGTTTCCATTGAAGTAAAAAAACGGAAATCGCGCGGTGTAGAAATTCAAATTCGTAGAAATACTAGATAGAGAGAGAGGAGGAAGGAATAGAATCTTACCAATCTTTCTCTCTCTTCCTCTGTTTCAGATCCTCTGGAAAACACGAAACTGCTTCCTGAAATTATGAAACCCGTCTAGTCGGGGAACCGGCGGCGTCGGTTCCCGCAGTTTCGAATTTCGAGAAAGCTCAACTTCCTCCCTTCCTCCTCTCGAGCGAATTTCGAGGAGCAAGAGAACTCGATCGGGGAAGCGTTGGCTCGAAAAATGGGAGGGCAAAGGATCAGAAGGAAGAAAGGCGGCGTCGACGAGGGATCGACGACCTGATCCTGTGATCTCTGATCCGAAAGAGCGCGCCGAGATCTTGGTTGCGCGGCGATTGCGACGAAAAATGAACGAAAGCGCGGTCTACCTGCTCGGCTCGGAAGAAGAGGGAAACGTGCCTAGCAACCAGCTGAACCGAAGCTTCTACAGCGCGAGCTACCCGCCCCAGAACCGTAGCCACGACGAGGAGGATCTGTGGAACTTAGCCACGGATCGAGCCGGCCTGGCCATACTGCTGTTCCTGTTCTCGGTTGCGACCGTGTTCGGCAACACGTTGGTGATCCTAGCCGTGGTCAGGGAGAGGTATCTCCACACGGCGACCAATTACTTCGTCACCTCGTTGGCGTTCGCCGATTGCCTGGTCGGGTTGGTGGTGATGCCGTTCAGCGCGATTTACGAGGTGTTGGAGAACCGATGGCTGTTCACCACGGACTGGTGCGACGTGTGGCGCTCGTTGGACGTCCTATTCTCAACAGCCTCGATCCTCAATCTCTGCGTGATCAGCCTGGATCGTTACTGGGCCATCACCGACCCGTTCACGTATCCGAGCAAGATGAGCAGGAAACGGGCCGCCATACTCATTGCGATCGTGTGGATATGCTCGAGCGCCATCTCGTTCCCGGCGATCGTGTGGTGGAGGGCCGTACGGACGGAGGAGGTGCCGGAGGACAAGTGCCCGTTCACCGAGCACCTGGGATATCTCATCTTCTCGTCGACCATCAGCTTCTACCTACCCCTGTTCGTCATGGTGTTCACTTACTACAAGATCTACAGGGCGGCCGTGATCCAGACCAAGAGCCTGAAGCTGGGCACGAAGCAAGTTTTGATGGCCTCCGGTGAACTGGAACTCACTCTCAGGATGCATCGGGGCGGTGGAACCAACACGGACGCGAGACACCTGTTCCGCACCGCCTCGAGCACGCCCGAGGACCTCCAGGATCTCGAGGAGCCGCTCACCACCATTCAGCACAACAACTGTTTAACCAGGGTCCCGTCAACGAGGATCAATAAACAGCACAGGGGCAACAATTTCTCCTTGTCCCGGAAACTGGCCAAGTTCGCCAAGGAGAAGAAGGCCGCCAAGACGCTGGGGATCGTGATGGGTGTCTTCATCATATGCTGGCTCCCTTTCTTCGTCGTCAATCTCTGGTCGGGTTTTTGCTCCCAGTGTATATGGCAGGAGAAGATCGTGTTCGCCGCTGTTACGTGGCTCGGTTGGATCAACAGCGGAATGAATCCGGTCATATACGCCTGCTGGAGCAGGGATTTTCGTAGGTAAGCTCTCTCTCTCTCTCTCTCTCTCTCGCTTGCTTCTCTTCGATTTTCTTTTCGTCTTTCGAAAAGTATCTCTGACGCTCGAAACGGACAATATTCATCGGATATATATCGTTCATGTTAGGTAAACTTATTTAGATGAGATCACTTAGTTGGTAATCGACGCAGGAGAGTTAAAGAGAGACGAACTGTTAACAGGAATTAAGCGACATGCGGATAATACAGTCAAGTCGAAATTTGGAACTGAATGGAGGGATGTACTGTCCAAACAATTAGTGGACGATAGGAGGAAGAAAATATATCGAAATGGGAATTGGGTTTGGTTGGGAAAACGTTCCGACCGCATACGAGAATCGGCGAATTGTCGGGATGGAATGACGGACGAGGCCTCAAGGGTCCTATTAAACCGGGCAATCTCGGATAAAACGGGATAATCTTAGAGCGACATGGGTCTGCATCGATAATCAATTTTCGCTAAAACGGCTACAAGGGGAGACGGATAGAAGGATAGAAATCGTTTGAAAAATTATTCCACTTCACCAATCATAGTGTTTCTTCTGATTAATTAGTAAAATCCAAATAAAAACCGGAGAATCCGATCAAAAAATTCTCGGACGAACGATGGAATCGTTTGAAAAATTATTTCACCGATCACAGCGTTTTCTCCGACGCTAATTAACTTAGTGAAGTAAAATTGAAAAACTCTAGGATCAGAGAATTCTGAAAATTCGGAAACGAAACAGTTTGGAAAATTATTCCGTATATGAGGGAAAAGTATGGAATTGTACGGTTTTCTAAATAGAATTAGAAAGCCTCGAAAGCATCGAATCTATCAACGACAAACAAACGAAATGATAAAAACTTCGACTTGCTTTTTTTGTAAACGCGAGCAGGCCCATTTAGTGAAAAGCAGGGAATCGCTAAAGGCCGCGACGGCGTTTCATTCGTACGCCACGATGACAAATCACCGGCGTAACTTCCGGCGTGCCGTTCGTTCCTACGAATGGATGCGCCGAATAATGTTTGGCGACAAAGTTTCAGGAGAAAGCGGAAGGTATGCGAACAACGCGATTTAATTACGCGTTGGCGCGCACACGTTCGCGAAAACGGTTCGAGCAAATGGTAAAATGGAACGTGAAAACTTCACGGGCAGGGATGGAATGGATTTCGGTTCAACGCGAAAGAATTCTCGTTGTCCCTTTAATTAAATCCTACTTACTATCGCCCGTTAAACTTTAAAGCTGAACGTCCGCCGTCCTCGAACGCAGCGCTCGCCCTTCGAACTTCACTGAACAAAAGGGATGAGTCCCTGGTCCATTATCGATTATCGATATCTTATTGATAGCTTTTGATATATCGTTAAAATATCCTTAATGGAACAAAAATGGCATCAATCCTCTACCCTTTTTCTTTTTTATTCGAAATTATCATTGCCACGCGTAAAATATATTATATAAAAACGAACAAACTTCGTTGAAAAATTACATCCTCATTTTATTCTTCGATCACATCTATTCGTTTTAATCACGACTCTTAATATTACCATATCTATCTATCGATATGTAGCTTTTGATATAACGTTAAAATAACGTTAATGGAAGAAAAATGACCGCGGTATCTATCCTCTTGTTTCATTCAAAATTATCATCACGCCACGTAAAAATATAAAGCTTCGTTGAAAAATTACGTCGTCGTCATCTTACTCTTAAAAATAAATATCCGTAAGTATCCAAACAATAAGAAGTGACAGAAGAATATCGCTCTCGTTACTTACTTTCGTTCGAAGCACTTACATTTTTTCTCATTAATACCATCGATAACGATATCCGGAATCAAAGCCGAAAAATACGCGGAATTGGCGCGTGATCCGCGTGAAATCGATCGATGCTTCCATCAATCTTTTCCCGGTATCCGAGCGTGGAAACGAGCCACCCTCGAGGCTGATTTTTCAAAAAGTCGTTTTGCCGAGCGTATGTTGCGGCCCACGCGCTCCCGTGTAATACTGGTCCGTGAAAAATGACGACACCGTTCAACGATAAATAACGGTGATATCTGTTGCGACGGGAAATGCGGAGAACGTAAGTGAAACAGAAGGCGACCGAAAGGAGAAGGAAAAGAAGATATTTACTTGGATAAAAAGGTGGACTGGAACGACGAAGGATGGCGCGAGAACAACATTAACTCGATGGATCGTGGAGGGATGGGGAGGGGTATTCATCTCAATCCAGACTCGCTCCTTTCCGCGAAAAACTAACACTCCTTCCTCGAGCATCCACGCTATTCTCTTGTCCGACTCGTCGCGAGAAAGTCGAGAGGGGAAAAAAGAGATTCTTCTGAATCGATCGTTTTATCAATGATTCTAAATTTTTATCGCTCCGTTATATCTACTTTATCGCAGGCAGCGTTCTTTTTTTACACGTCATTTTTTCTCTTATCCGATAAATCGTCCAAATTGTTATCTCGCGACACACTCGTTACATTTATAACAAATTATATATAATCCCGCGCCGCGAGAGCGATTTAGAAGGGGCCGTATTCACTGACAAATCGCGGAGGATTTATCGCTGATTCGTGAGCCAGTTGGCGCTTAATAAAGAAAATATTAGACCGCTGTGTCTACCTACGGTTAAGTTACGCGCCATTATTATCTGAACGGGGTCAAATTGTTATCGCGCGTGTCTCTCTCTCTCCCAGTGTGTACCCCATGCATAATGTGCGTATACGCTCATCGATATTTCAACGATCAGTCGTTTTCGCTCACGGGGACGAAATTGTCGTGTCACCGAACCTCTCTTTCTCTTTCTCCCCGCTCGACAACTATCCAGTTTCCTGTACAAAATCTTCGAACGAATTCGAAAGAACAAGAACGACAATTGGAATTTATCTCGTTTCGGTGAATAGAGAGGGAGAACGAATGGAAAGATGGGAGACACGGTGGAAAGAAACGGTCGGAGGATAGAGAACAAAGGAGTGAGTTGTCGATAAAATTCGCGGGGAGACGAGATTCATGGAACGATCGTGTCCATCCCCCCCCCCCCGGATGGTTATGCTTGCCAAAAGGGATATAAAATCTCAGGGATGATTTATGATTTGGAAAATGAAGTTGGAAAATGTTTGTTTAATTTGTCGTTTTGTTCGTCGTCCCTGCAAAGTTTTTCGAGAATAAATAAGATCTCTGAGATTTAATAATAAAGGGATGGAGATAATTAAAATTTATCCGAAAAAATTGGTTGGGGGATTTGTTATGTAAACTAGGGGCACGGTAATCGGTGCAAATACTCCGCTTCTTCGAAGGAAGGAAGAAAAAGTCGATGGCGTCCAACTCGAGAAACTATTCTCGAAGGTGAAGATAAACGAGAGCAAAATGGATGAGAAGTACTATGCAAATATTCACTGCCGCGCAAATTAACTCGACGCCAAGTTTGGAAAACCTTTGAATACCTCCCTTCCTTCCTTCCTTTTCTTTTCTTGTACGAACAAAAAAAAAAGAAGAATCGAAAACACGTGTACTTATAATCAAATAATAATCAGATAAATATCAGATAAAACGAGAACGAAGAATTGATAATCTTTTGAAAAGAGGCGGGAAAAGAATGGCGCAAAGGGTAAAACGATTTCTTAGATATTAACCGTTCGAAAATTATGTTTCGCAAAAGACAAAAGAAACGTTTTCTCTGCCGGAAAAACGTACGTGTATGACACCGTTTCCGAGACCTCGTAAAGATATTTCGCATTTCCGATGAAATTTCAAAGGTCGCCACGGCATTAATGCAATTTCCCGAGAAAATTTTAGGGTCAACCTCGTTGGTTTCTCGCTCCGCGCGACGGGGACTCATTCCCAAAATTGCTTAATCGAATAAACGACAACGAAGCGTGGGGAACAGTCGGAGAAATAACAGGTTTTCACGACAAAGAAGATTGGAAATAAAGCAAACGTTTCTTCCAAAGATGTATATTCTTCCTTTGTTCGGATTCAACTTTTTTTCAAACGTTCCTTCTTTCTTCCTAAGCTCTCTCTCCTCGAGCTTCTCGAAAATCTCGAGAAAGCTTTGAGTTAAAAAAACAGGCGACTTTTTTCTCGACCTTTTTCCCCACCTCGAATTTACGTTTTCGCGCAAGGGATTTGGGAAGATCGAAGCAACCGTTTGGAAAAGACTCGCAGTTTGGAAACCGCCTATCCGTTTAACGTTAATCCCCTCGATCGAGAACCAATAGTGTCGAAACTATCGGTAGAGCATTATTTATTCAGACGGCCTGCAACGATCCAACCATCCCTTAAATTATCATACACGTTGTGTACGCGAGAATTTCCAATCGTGCAATATGTATTTGCAGCGATACGAACTTTGAATGGTGGCAAGTATCGATTTTGTCGTTTCGATCTTTTGTTTCCTTTTTTTTTTTTTCCTACACTTTCTACGAAAACGGGGATCTTACTTTTCTCCTCTTCACAGACGAACGCCTACGTTTAATATAATTGTAGGCGAGCGATATAATAAATTCAGTCACGCGAAGAATTCCGCATCGAGTCAAGGTTTCCACGTCCATCCGTACAGATACCAAATAAAATTTTTGGTATATCGGGGAAATTTTCTTTATTTGAACATTTATCGTTACATTGGCGCAACAACGCGCAACAATGTCACGTCGGGACGCCATATTGGAAATTTTTGAAGCTCGCGTCACTTTTCTTGCGGCGACGTGGAATACGAAATGGAATTGTAATAAACATTGTACGTACAACGAAATCCTCGAACGTGAACTCGTGCTTTCTCACACGAACGCTGTTTTCACACGTTTTCTTCGTTTCCCACCTTCCCTTAATTCTTGTCGACTCGAAAATCCTTTCGATCGCCAATTCAATGTAAATTCTATAAATCGTGTAAATCGGTTGGAAAAATGAGAAACGAGATGATGACGAGATAAAAGTGTTACACCTGGTTCACACCTCGAGTCGGTCGAGGCAAAAATACTCCGCATTTCCATCTATTTTGCATGTC